CATCTGACCGGAAACTGGTCGTGTTCTGTGCCATCATTATCCATATTCCTCTCATTCTCGCCATCCTGTTTTTAGTACATATTTTTTACACGCCCATATTATTATGCCATCATGTTTGACATCAGAATTATTCATATTCGCTCACTATGAAAAATTAACGACCGTTGATGAAACCGCGTACAGTTCATCAACCGCTTCCCAAACACAGCACCATTCACAGGTATCTTCCCCATCAAGAGTTTACCCGAATTTCTCGCTTTTTTAATTAGTTCTATTCGCACAAGTGTTGATCGGGCCTCGACCAGGATAGAGTCCAATAGTTTTTCATAGAAACACGGTGTAGGTGCTTTTAGATGACCCCATAAATTCAAATAAATTTTATAGAAAGCATCATGTCTTCTTCACACTCCATACTTGAAGGAAGGGTATAATTCGGTTTTAAAAAATTTTCCAATCCCCGAATAATTTTGAACCCAACCTGCCGTTAGACACGCATTTCAGGGCTTCCAAACTACAAGCTATATATTTTCCGTGTATGGAAAATCATGCGTTTCTATACGTTATTAAGAGGAGACCATATGGAGTTCATAAAATGTAGCAGCGCGTTTGAGCCAGATTGCAGACTTCACAAGCATCATTAATAAATGCAGGGAGATGGCGTCTCATGAGCGGCATTTCGCGATCTTAGAAATTCTCATGGTTAGAAGCTTTTTAAAAATCAAATTATACATTTCCTTCAAGTATACCATTTGAAGACGATGTAAGTTTCTACCAAAAGAGAAAAAGAGTGAATATCTTTATGCATGTTTCAATGAAATATGTTGGAATTTGTAAGGGAGTCAAAAATTAATGAGAAAAGTTCATACTATTGAAGTAGTCATTTTTACGGGGTTTAGTTTTTGCAGACGACCGGAATGAAGTTCGTTCAAAAGCATGTATCTTGAACTAATGGAATTATCATAGGATTAGGCTGCACGATGATTACTATTACAACTTTACTTCAGTAATCCTTTAGGGTTGAAAACGCATCTCCGAATTTCGGTCAACACATCTACTGTAGATGTTTCAGGCGTAACCGAAACCCATAAAGATTGCATTGTTACTGTCTTGACGATGAACTCCTCTACGAGTTCGAAGGCTCGGAAGAATAAAGGAGTGTTTCCGAAGCTCCATCGGCCTCTCTCATTATCCTTACTCTTTGCGAGTAGTCTTTTTGTCTGCAGAATTCTCGAAGTGACGACCAGGAAAGAGATCGTGACCTCTTCGGCTCGTCAGGCGGGCATGTTGGCTTCTGAGGCACCACAACGAAGTCACCAGTCGCCTGGGCAGCAGCTCTCAATGTACAGAACAAGTTGAAGTCGCACCTAGGAATGAAACCGACAGCAACCATCGCCGAACTCGTGATCATCCCCTCTGCATTGTTACCTGTCAACCCCCCCCCCCGTTGGAATTGACCGGGTATTTATTCTCTCAAGGAGAGGGGAACACCGGTCCGTTTGACATACAGCGTCGGGAGAGCTCAGGAGAAGGTGATCGGGATCACGGATAGCCGACCACCAAGCATGCGCGTGCAGGGCCTCGTAGCATCGACGGTTTTCATGTTGGAGAACCCACCTCCCCACCCGATTCGGCTTCATCAAATTTCGAGCTCCAGGAGGCGAATTTTCCAAATTAGTCGATGAACCTCGGCGATCTGTAGTTCAGATGGTCAGTTGACTAGGGCTCAAGCATTAATCGCCCAGATTGAGGTCGGTGGTAACAAATGAGCCAGGAAAGGGTGTTTCACTAAGCGAAACTTCCCGGGGGATTTGTTTGTTTTACTATCTATAACTCCGCTTCGCCCAACAATTTTAATATGGTGAAGGGACGCTTACCGATCGTGTTACGAAATTCACTCGTCCGGTTGTGCCTTGGAGCCCTCTCTCGAGCCTAACCAGCAGCCGCACAGAGGCGCGTAATAGAGGCAGAATAGCGTTACCGACGAAAACAAAGGAGACTGGAATGGCCATTTCTGGCATCGTCAGCCAGTCATGCCCAACCCCGAAGTGTTGAACAGCTGGGACTCGATCCCACGACCTGTTAGTTAGAAGTCAAAAGCCTCTAACCTCTGAACCAAAGTCTTGTTGCCCTGTCGGTTGCGGTCTGGAGTATACAGTAGGTTTACCATGCTGACTTTCGGGAAACTTAGCGGTGCCCTGACTAGCCAAGTAATATGAAAAAACTTTGGACATTCAATTGCTCGAGGCCTATTGTTCGGATAGTCTTCTATGTAAATCCCACATCAATTGGTGACACATTAGTAAGATTTTTAAAAAACGGTCGACGAAATTAAACCAAACTAGCCATAGTGTAAGCTGTCGGTCCCAAAAGTTGTTTGAGTTGTTATCAAGGACTCCGACTGGGTAAACGAGGCAGCAAAGGTAGGGTGAAGCACTCCACTTAATTGTCGGTGGACTATGGACCGTGTCATATGGAAACGGTGGTAACGGGTGGGACAGCAAGTTAGACAGTAAGCTGACGAAATGCAAGAAAACACAGAAATTGTTTTGATTCCTGTCAAAAGCCTTATCGTACGCTCTCCTATGGCTGCGGAGAGGAGCGTGTTAGTTCAAAAAAAAACAAGAAAAAGCAAATACTCAAAAAATAACTGAACTCATGTAGTGGTTTGAGGTCATGAGAAGTAATTGTTCTTGATAGTGTAATGCCTGCTATGGCCTACAAATGGATGTCACGATAAAACCCAATAGGACGTGATCCATTGTCCGCCAACAATCATTTGCGGTCCTTTACCCTACTGTCGCTGAAAACTCGAATAAGTAAGTTTCAGCACCCAGCCTGATAGACTTGAATGTCCATATCAAAACATTTCATCATGCTAGGACCAGATAAATGGGTTTTTTTAGTTAACAGTACTAATTTTTGCACTAGCCGGCTTAGTATGACCAAGTTAGAGGACGTAGGACGTCAGGAAATGGTATAGAGGAAGTCTCTAAATAGATGTTTATGACGGTCTACTGGGAAGATTTGAATCAGAGAGTCATGCCACCTCAAGAGACACCGGAATGGGGGTTCTCGTTCCAGTGGCCGAATCTTCGTCTTCTGTGCTGCTTCCGAGAACTCACCTGTTCGCTTCTATCGGCACACCGGAGTGAGCTGTTGAAAAATTGAGAAAACAAGGTGAGCTGTGTGGTTGGGGAATGGAGTGGGGAAACGCATTCTTATCATTAATTCTGTGGCTCACATCCTACGGAACAGACAACCCCAAATGGTCTTGAGCCCTTGAAAGCCGTTAGACTTTCGATATGCAGCCACTTCTGGGGGGGGGGGGGAGAAGGTGGAGGTGGGCCGCGGAAGCCAGCAGCAAGCACCGTCATCCAATCTGCTTCAATCTACCAGCCAAACAATGATGACTACTTACTGAATCCAGAAAATGGAGGGTTACTCAAAAAACGGTAAAGCAGTCTTTGCACAACGGCTGATTGCTGTGGTGGGAACGCTAGTGAAGATGGCTGACGTCCCTTTCCCCAAAAGGACTTACGACCCCTCTTTAAGTGATAAACCCATTAATTGGGCACAGTGAGAAGGCTATCCGGGGAACGAAGATAACAGTATCCCAACGGTTACAAACTAGTAAATAAGAACGAAGTCGTCATCAGGTAAATATGCACGTGCTTGTTCTTTGTCTCATTCAAAGTTGTGTCAAGTTACTTAACAAGCGTATTATAACTGATAAACAAAACGGACTTAAATGTCACTACAATACTCCCCCTCCTAGGATAACGGAGCTCAAAAAATCATTGTTAATTGAAGGAAAAGGTGGGAGTTTTATACATATTGTGCAAATTGGTAACGGTCGGGAAAACGGACATGACGACCGCTGCGCATAGGGGGAAGAGTCTGTGGGGTGAGGGTAGACACAGGGTTATTGGGCGTAAGTGGAGTCTGGGAAATAGCAAGTGGCAATGTGCCGAGTGGAGGTTGTTCGGTTGTGGAAGTTGGAAGAGGCTCGGTATAAGCCGCCTTCAAGCGATCGACTGAGACCACGTCGGTGCGGCTTGCACGGTCAATTGTAAAGTGCTTGTCCGTTCGAGATAGTACTCGAAATGGGCCGTCATAGGACTGTTGTAGTGGCCGACAAACGCGATCTACACGTACAAATACAAATGAGCATGTTAGCAGGTTCGGGTCTACGTACGACCTACTTGTTGGAGGATGTGGAGGAGTGACTCGAAGATGAGCCATGGCATGGCGCAATCTTTGCACAGAATCGCTGGGATCCAAGTTGCCTGATCTTTGAGAGTGCCCGAAAAAATCACCTGGAGTCCGTAGGGTAGTACCGTAGACAAGTTCGACAACGGAACACTCCAAGTGGGCTTGAGTGCAGTACGGATACCGAGCATGACCAGAGGCAGATGCTCGCATCAGTGGGAAGGGTTGTCATGAGCTCGGAGCGAGGCTTTGAGTTGCCGATGGAAACGCTCGACTAAGCCGTTGGATGAGGTGTGGCATGCTGTCATGTGTATTCGAGAACATCCGAGGAGGTCGGCAAGACTGTAAAAAATCTAGACTGGAATTGTTGGCCTAGATCGGTGGTAATAGTTTAGGGGACGCCATAATGAGAGATCCAATGTTCCAAAAAGGCATGAACAACGGTATCTGCAGTTATGTTAGGTATGCGAGTTGCAATGGGCCAACGACTAAACCGGTCAATCGCAGTAAGTAAGTAGTTGCAACCACACGATGTTGGAAAAGGACCTACCAGATCGATATGGACACGTCCAAAACGTGCGTCAGGTGCGAGAAAAGTGCCAATGGGGGCTTTGTTGTGCCGTCCGGCTTTGGCATTCTGACAGGCCAAACATGAACGGGTTTACTGGCGGATATCAGTGTTCATGCTTGGACAAACGAAACGCTCGCTGACGAGGCGCTGGGTAGTGCGGATGCCAGGATGAGCAAGATTGTGCAATTCGACAAAATATCTCGTCTCATCTCGCTTGGCACTAAGGGTTGGAAAGCACCGCGCGATACGTCACACAAGATTGTACCGGGGTGGTGGAAAGAGGAATGGCCTCGAGCTGAAGACTAGTGTGTTGAAGGTTCTCAGTGGAAGTCGACTGGTTTTGCAGTCCTGCCATGCACTCCAAATCGATGTAAGGGCGGGTGATGGCATTAATGCCAGGCCGAGAAAGACAGTCAGCAACTTGATTATAAAGGCCTTTAAGAAGTCGAATGTCGGTGGTATACTGAGAAATAAAGTCGAGATAGCGGGCCTCGTGGGGTGAATACTTGTCAGAAGAAGAAGAGAGGGCATAAGTATGAGGCTTATGGTCAGTATAAATTCAAAAATCTCGGCCTTCAATATAATTACGAAAATGTTTAATGGCTAAATAAATTGCAAGAAGTTCTCTACCAAAAGTGCTATAGCGAGTTTGTGGGGGTGTAAATTTGGCAGAGTAGAAAGCCAAGGGTTGGGTGCCAGTGGGCGTCTGTTGCTGAAGGGCAGCACCTACAGCGAAATTGGAGGCGTCGGCCACAACGGAAAGTGGGGCATCAGGTATAGGGTGAACAAGGGCATTTGTATCCACCAGAGCCTCCCTAGCGCGATTGAAAGCCTCTACAACTGTGTCAGGAAAAGAAAATTGGCGATTGTTCCCGCGTAAAAGGTTAGCAAGTGATAACATTAATTGAGCACAATGAGGGATAAAGCGTCGATAGAAATTGACAAGGCCTATAAAACGACGCAGTTGTTGAAAAGAAGTGGGAGTAGGAAAATCGCGAAAAGCTGACATTTGGCATCTATGCGATGACAACCAGAAGCATCTACGCGATGTCCTAGGAAAAACAACGACTGTATATCAAAAACACATTTAGAAACATTAATCAAAACGCCAAATTGGCTCAATCGTTCAAAAATGAGGCGTAAATGTTATTGGTGTTCGTGTTCACTGAAATTTGCTACCAGAACATCGTCGGCCTAGACAAAAACGAAAGGTAAGTCGCGGAGAGCTTCGTTGATGAAACGCTGAAAAGTTTGAGCAGATTTGCCTGGCCCAAAGGCATCCTGACAAACTCAAACTGGCCAAACGGTGTTGTAATCGCCGTTTTGGGAACGTCTTCTTGAGCAAGGGGTATCTGATGGCAAGCTTTGACTAAGTCAGTCTTGGAAAATATTGTTGCTCTGGCTGGGCTAGGTAAATAGTCGTGGAGATGGGGAAGTGGATACATGTCAGGCACAGTGCAAGTGTTTAACCGTCGGTAATCCCCGCTTGTATGCCAGTCAACGGGAGATTTTTTACACACCATATGTAGAGGTGCAGTCCATGGACTAGTGGAAGGTCTGAGTATGCCTAGCTCCATCATGTGACTGAATTCAGCCTTGGCTATGGCTAACTTATCGGGGGCAAACGACGGGGACGGCTGAACACGGATGGTCCAGTAGTTGAAATATAATGTACAACAGAATGCTTGATGGGTTGGTTAAATTGTGAGAGTCGTGTGATAGATGGAAATTCCAAAAGCAACCGATGATAGGGAGTAGACGAAGGGATTGTTGAAATGCGTGGATTGGGTGATGAAAGTGTACGAGTGGAACATTTACGGTGTAAAGAAGTCTTAGGGTCAAATAATTTATGAGATTTGATGTCAATGAGGAGACCGAAAAAGGATATAAAATCAACGCCGAAAATATCAGTAGGAACATCAGGAATAGTAATTACCCAACGAAATGAACGCCTTTGACCCAAATCTAGTGTTAGGGATCGTTGACCAAAAGTCTTAATAAACGTCCTGTTATCTGCTTGGAGGAAAAAAGAAGAGTTTGGTAATATACGGTCTGTCAAGGTGGGTGGGATTAGACTGATCTCCGCACCGGTATCCACGAAAAAATTACGACAGGAAGTCCTGTCATAGGTGTGGGAGAGAATGTGCCGATTACGTTCGTCGTCCTTATAGCTCGGCAGGGGAGTTTTCCAACGCAGCTGTCTTGTACTTGCACGGAGAGTGACAGCGATGTGCGTTGGGACCATAATTAAGATGATAACAACAGAAGCAATCAACTGTAGGTTGATTTGGAGTGGGAGATCTCGGGCGCGAGTGATTGCAGGATTAAGAGAGTTAAAGACACGAGTGGCCCGGAGCTGAGAAACTTCGACAGTGAGGACATACACACGTCTGATGACATCCTCGATTGTGGGAGCAATTTCGCTTCTATTAGCGACGTTTACCGTAACAGGAGGCTGGTAGTTCTCGGGTATACGGTCAGCAGTCTCTGTAAGCATCTGAACAGTCGAGGAAGGAATGTTAGACGCAAGGATGGCTTGCACAGAAGGAGGCAACCGTCGGAGAAAAAGTTGCTTGAACATGGTTGCATTCAGCTTTTGTCCGTCTCCCAACTGCTCCAAACGCCTAAGAAGCTGCGTAGCCTTCCCTTCACCGAGGTCCTCCTCAGAAATTAAACATTGCAGACGTATTTGCTTTGACGGGGTAATGCGGGAGATGAGAGCCTCCTTTAGGGCAGTATCAAGGGCTTCTGTGGGCGGGAAATCTATGATGTCGCAGAGGTCGGTGGCGATATCCACTGGGAGTGCTGACACAACTGATTAAAACATAACGGACTTAAATGTCCCTATACCTCCATCGACCCACTCCGTGGCATCTCTCTCCTAGCTTTCCTCGACGACGCTCCGCCACGCTTCCATCCCCGCGGCCGCCCACAACGCGGCACTCTCAACCTGTGGGTTAACAAACATGACGCCACCACCACTCACTTTAGATGGATCGCTCCGACATCGTTCTACCGTGTAATGTGGTAGTTCTTTTTTACAATTTGATCTATTTATTTGGTATAGTGGAGATTTGGTTCGCTCCAGCCCATTTTCCTTACTGTGTCCATGTGGGCGTGTCTGGTGTCGTGTGTTTCTTGGATCCTCCTCCATGGGGTTCCTTTGCTGCATGTGCGCTCCGAGCCTGAGGCCATCATGGTTAGCTAAGCGTCATGACTTGGAAGGTTGCCAACTGGCGAGGTGCCCGGACCTCGCAGTCAGTCCGGTGTGCGTGTGTTTGTGTTGTGAGTGGAGTGGCGGACTGAGAGTCTGGCTGCAGTGACTCCTAAATGCGGTTTCTATGACCCCCTCAAGCTGTGGGGTCCTAGCAACACGCCTTTGGGCGGTTCTGGCCGCATCAGCCACCTGTGCCTTCTGCAGCCCCCCCATATTCTGCCATAACACTGGACCCAGCTGGAGGGGAAGGAATGAGTGCGGTAGATACGGCGTAAGTACTCCACCGCTATAAGCTAAGTCAAGCGCAAGTCACCGTGTCTGCTCTCACCGTGCTGTGGAGTACACGATGGACCGTGTCAGCCACGACGATTAAACAGGCGTTCAACCATTTAGGTTCTATCCCTGTGTGCCATCCTCAACGTCTTCGGTGGCGACAGCGGCATCTGACCTGTTTAACTTACCTGGATGATATGCTTGCGTGACCAATAGCCTTCGTTTGCATGTTCGTTTAACTGAAGGTGTTCCCAGGTAATTTGTTATAGGTTCCTAACAGTCCAATCTATTCTTCATTCTTTGTTTTTAAAAGCGAGAAGAGGTGCTATTTTGGAGTTAATCGAAATACCCTCTTTTTGTATCTATCCGAAAGGGTGCTTTGTCCGAGTTGGCGTCAGGTTTTTAAATTGTGCTTTTTTCAAACAGAATAAAAATTGCAAATCACTATGACTAAAGCAGTCCGACGGACTTTTTAATGATAAACGGCAGGTGATAATCGAAATCTTGCCACAGCAAATCAGAATTTCAAGTAATTACGGATGATGTATTTAGTAAAACACTTGACAATGTGTGAATAAAACTCCGCGGGTGTTTAGTCCGCAGTCATTAATGAATTTATCAAATCAAACACCCAATACAGGCCAACCCTGCTCGAGGGTAACCTAAAGGTTGTTGATATGGTTAATCTTTTGCTGACTTGATAAGTTTCTTTCAAGGCACGATTCACAGTCGATCTTCGTTTTACATTTAACCGATGGGAGCTTTGATTTGCCGCCAAGACAGACGTTACCAATCCGGTCAAATTTTCAGCCGCCGTTCACAAGCCCCTCGGCTCTCGAATTTTCGTGGAGCGGCTAATTTCGACGACAAATAGTGACTGCGACAGAACATGTTGCTGAATAAGAGCTGGCTGAACACCGAACACGATGATTCAATGGGAGTTTAGTCGAAAACAATAGTCTGGATTCCAGAACCGAGTACTCTACGAACCCAGCCAGTTCTCCGCTGTTCGCCTGGACTCCACAGTCAAAGTAATTCGTACATATGATTCATCTTAACTTCAACAATGTGTATGGTTGTAGAGAACCCTAATCACCAAATTTGCTACCATTTGCTTCCGTAAAATCTTTCTGAACTTAGATGGAACAGGAATCTCATGTGCGTCCGTCAGATGTGAATTGGTTGTGAAGGTTCCTTAACCACGCGGAAAAAAACAAAGTCCTCCAGTACGCCGAAAAATCTAGTGCCTTTTCGAAAAAAAAGAAAAAAAGACCGATGAATTACACCCCAGAGTGCACTGCCAGTGTAGGTATTCATACGGAAAGTTGACGATTTTTGTTAAATATTCACAGTATGGTAAAAGTGCATCAGTTTTTGCTCAGAGACATTATTTCACCGAAACCAAGACGAATCATGTGCAATTAGGCAGGTCAGTACATTCGGAATTCCGCAAGCCAGCCTTTCTGAGGGCATTTGTTAAACTTTACAGTATACTCCACGTGGTCTAGCTTCTCCTTTGCCATTGAAACGGACATTATCAACAGGTTCAAATTTCCTATCAGCGTTTCCATGACTCGTGGTTCTTGAACTCTCAGTCGGCCACAAATCTTGACGCCGAATGATGACCTTGAAAGAAGGCCTTTCTGGGTGAAAACTACAAGGACTCTAGGCAGGCAAATTTCATCAGAGTTTTTTTCGGAAACAGAGGTTTCAGTCTCAGACTTTAACACCATTTCTTCCTCGGCCACTCAAACCCCACAGTAATTTGTGTATTGCAGGGTTAACGAAAACCTTTAGCACCACGTCTTTATGGACTTACAACTGTTAGTTCGAAAACTTTTTCCTTTGGTTTTTAGAGGACTTTTTTTCCCTATACTTCTGCTTTCGTAGAACTAAGAAGCATGACTGCAACATTAAGCCTTTAGGGCACTTAACGCGGAAACCAGCTTTCTTGTTATGTATCCGACATGCCGGAAAGAAGAAGAATCCCATCTGCCCCCTCCCGAAATGAGTTGGCTACGAAGCTTATTTTAATGCGTGAACCAAAGCTGAGGCTTCATATGCACCTAAAACCCTGGTGCTTTTTGCAAAAGTTGGTGCGGACGATTCATACCGCAGCAAACAACTATCTGAATGGGACTCAGTACGCCATGCGGACACCCATAATAGCCGTTAATTTTGAAATATTCGCGGTACAGAATGAAGAACCAATTTTTACTCAGGAGCCCTTTTTACAAACTTTAGAAAGAGTCAACTGCTATGAAGCAGGTGTAGTACTTCGAAGTTTGATGATTCGACATTAATGAGTCCCTTTATTGAGCTTTGCGCTGTGCACGTTTGACTTGGCTCATCGTAGCTGCGACAGGTATTATATCGGCAAAACACCTCGCTAGTCAGACGCGTGTACCGACCGGGTGTCGAATATAAAGGAGAGTCAGATCCAAAACGCTCCATACTGTACTTGTCTGAATCCCATTCCATTGTCATTGAAGCAAACATTACCGGTAGGTTCAGAGTTCCTGTCGCCGTTCACAAGCCCCTTGGTTCCGGAAATCTCAGATGACTATAAATTTCGACGTCGAATGGTGGTCTCGGGAGAAGGCTTTACCGAATGCAAAGTGTGGAGAACACTGAGCGGAAATATTTTACCGGCGTTTAGTCGAAAACAGAGGCTTTGGTCTCAACCTTGTAGCCCAACAGCCCAACAATTTCTTTAGTGGTGTTCTAAAGCCCACATCTCAAATAAGCTGTGCATTTGCTTCAAATTAACTCCACACATAAGGCTGGAGATAGTCTTAACCACGACTTTTACATAAAATAAATGCAGAGAATCTTTATGGACTTATAACTGTTCACTCAAAATTTTCGTCTTTTAGTTTTAAGAACTTTTTTTACGAAAAACCCGTCTTCTTGGGACTTAAAAGCATACATTGTGGCATTAAGCCATTAAGGCATCTAACTTTAAGCGGAAATCAGGTTTCTTATTAGTCATCTGCATTCAGTGATGCATGAAGGGCAGTTTGATTACAAGGTCACGAAACTTTTAACTGCTTTAGCAGGTTACTATTTAATCAACTCATTTGAGATGCCCGAAGGAAGAAGAATCTCATCTGTACCCAGTCGGTACTAGTTGGCTTCGAAGCTTATTCTAACGCGTGAGGCAATAATGTGGTTTCATGTACACCTGAAACACTTGTGCTTTTTTGCAAAAGCTAGTGTAGGCAACTGCTACTGCAGTTAACAAATATCTGAATAGGACTTAGTACATAATGTGGAAACACGTAATAAAAGTCATTAATTGCTCAGTATTGTCGGTATGATAAGAAGAACCAATTTTTGACTTAGGAAGACTACGTTATCAACTTTAAGGAGGCTGAACTGTAATGAGGGAGGTTAACTATTTCGAAATTTGAAAAGTCAACATTCCCGAGTCCTTTTGCTGAGCTTGACTGTATGTGCGGCTAACCTATCTTGTCGTAACTGTGATAGGGACTACATCGGCAAAATGTTTGTCCAGTCAGGCACGCGTACCCAGCGGCACATACAATTATTCAAAGAATTTCGAATATCAAAGAGTATTGGATTCAAATCGATTCATGCTGCAGTTATCTGAATCACATTCACAATACCAACTAAAAGCATCTGCGAGTTATTTGGTGGGCAAAATTCCAACTTTGTAATGAATAAGCCGATACATGATTTAACTTCAGGGATAAATACACACGAGTATATACGCCAGAAGAATTAGAAGGAACAAAGTAATCACGAGAATTCAGCTAAATGAAAAATTTCTATCGAAAGTTTTGTCCCGGTTATCACGGGTCACATTTATAATGTACTAAAACAGAACGCTTTTTTATGCCAAGACAATGTTCCCTCCCCTAGGAGAACAGAGTTCTAACGTGAAAAATAAGTGTGACTTTGATAAGTGTTAGGCATAATGTACAAGCTGGTAACGATCAGGGAAACGGATACGACGACCACTGCGTGTAGGGGGTGGAATCGAGAGGGGAGCGGAGTGCACAGAATTATCAAGTGTAAACGCAGACGGGGAAATCAGGGAATGCATCGTGGCAGGTAAAGAAAGTTGATCTGTTGGGGTGGACGAAAGAGGCCCGGTATAAGGCATCTTCGACCGATCGACTGAGACCAATTTGTTACGATCGTCAAGGCCCATTTTGAAATCCTTGTCCGTGCGAGGCAGGACTCGAAAGGGTCTGTCGTAGGGCCCATTCAATGGTTTACGAACACCATCTACGCGGACAAAGATAAAAAAAAACCTATTAGCAAGTTAAGATCAATATATGACTTACTTGCTGGAGCGCGTGGAGATATGGCCCGGGGATTAGCCAGTGTTTGGCGCAACCGCTGGACATAATCGGTAGCATCCAGATCGTCTAAATTTTGGGCTTGCCCGAAAAAATCGCCAGGAATTCGTAAGGTGGTCCCGTGAACAAGTTCGGCAGTGGATCACTCCAAGTCGTGTTCGAGCATGACCAAAGGGAGATGCTCGCTTCAATGAGTGAGAACGTCACAATCCCGGAGCGAGGCTTCGAATTAACGATGGAGACGCTCACCTAGGCCGTTGGATGAGGGATGGTAAGCTTACATGCGTGTGAGAAAGCATCCGAGGAGGTCAGTAGGAGCATGAAAAGTCTAGATTTTAAATTGCTGGCCTTAGTCGGTGGTAATAGTCGTGGGGACACCATAATGGGACATCCAGTGTCCCAAAAAGACACGGGTGACAGTATCTACAGCGAGGTTTGGAATCAGAGTAGCGATGGATCATCGCGTTAATCGATTAACTGCGGTGAGCAAGTAGTTACAACCAGAGGATTTTGCCAAAGGACGCACGAAGTCTACGGTGCAGATGTGCAAAACGCTCACTGGATGCCATTAAATTTCCAAATAGTGGTTTATTGTGACGTCTGATTTTGACTTTCTGGCAGGTCAAACATTGGCATGTCCACTGTCGGATATCAGTGTTAATTCCGGGTCAGACAAAACGCTTGCTGACGAGGCTCCGAGTTGCCCGGATGCCAGGGTGGGCGAGATTGTGCAACGAGGTGAAAACCTCTCGTCGCATCTCACTTTGGTGATATAGGGCGAGAGAAACCGCGGGACGCGTCGCACAAGGTCTAACTGGAGGTGGCGAACAGAGGATGGCTTTAATCCGAAAGCTAGTATATCCCAATTGGTTAGGAAAAGTCGACTGCAGCAGCATTAATTTCAGGTCGGGATAGACAATAGGCAACCAGATTAGAGGGGCCTTTAAGAAATCGAATGTCTAAGGTATATTGAGAGGCAGAATCAAGATGTCGCGCCTCATGGGATAAAAACTTATCAGAGGGCGTGGAGAAGGCATGAATAAGAGATTAATGGTCAGTGTTAATACGAAAGTCCCTGTCTCCAACATAGTTACGGAAATTCATAATTGTGAGATAAATGGCAAATACTTCTCTACCAAAAGTGTTATTACGAACTTGGGGGTATCAGTTGGACAGGGTAGAAGAATAAAGGTTAGATGTCCGTCGGGTGCGTTGCCGGAGGGCTGCACTTATGGTGCAATTTGACGCGTCAGTAACAATGGACAGTGGGGTACCAATTAGAGGGCGAGAAAGAGCAGTTGTATACGCAAAGTCCTCTAACATGTTGAAAGACGTCCGTGATTGTGTCAGAAAAAAGAATTCGCGGTTATTGCCCGCAAAGCAATTTTGAGCGGTAAAATTGATTGAGCGCAGTGACGGATGAAACGTCGGTGAAGAATGACAAAGCCTAAAAAACGGAGCAGTTTTCGGAAAGAAGTGGGGTCAGAGAACTAACGAATAATTGAAACTTCGGTATCTATGGGATGCAAACCGAAAGCATCTAGGCGGTGTCCTAGGAACAAGAACGAAAGAACGCCAAACACGTATTTTGAGGCATTGATAAAATCGCAACTTTGATTCAATCGCTCAAAAATTAAGCGTACGTGTTGTAGATGCGAGGTTCACTGGAATTTTATACTTGAAAATCATCGACATGAATTAAAGCGAAAAGTAAGTCGCAGAGGACTTCCTTACTAAAGAATTGAAGAGTTTTGGCTGACTTCCGGAGTCTAAAAGACATCCTGACGGGCTCAATATCTCCCTGGCCAGGTGAGCATAATCACGTACGAGGGCAGCGGAAGCAGCATTTACGGCCGTTTTACAACCCTTTGTGCCCGGTTTCCCTTCTGAATCCCCTTTTGATGTTTAGGCTCCGAAAAAATGTGGATTGTACAATGTAGTTCTGTCAGGACATACACTTAAAAAATAAAAGAGCTTAATCACAATGGTAGGGGATGCTCGCCGATCGTTCTTGCGGAACTCACTCGTTCCGTTGTGCCTTGGTGGCTCTATCTCGTGCCCAACTAGCAGCCACACAGCGACGCATGATATAGGCAGTATGTTATTACTCACAAAGTCTCCCTTGTCTTTGTCGGTAATAACATACTGCCCTTATTACAATCTCAACTGTCCCCTTTCCAATGTCGAAAATCCTAACTGAATTGTCACGGATGATTCTAGTCTGCGTCCTACCCGGCAAAAAATCGATAAACTTCTGCACGCGATATCGCGCCCTTTCGCCGAAAGCGCGCACTACGACCGAAATCTGGGTAACGGGGGCGGTGTGGTCCCACTGCCGCTAGTTGTCCTTCGTAGGCTTGTCGTGGGCCACTGATCCGGGTTGGTGTTACTCATTTTTGAAGTTTAGCGGCAAAGGTCATACCAGAGTTTTGCAGGGCTTGTGGCTGGACCTCCGCGTTCTGTAGTATGACGGAATTGTTGCTATAACTTCCTCCCCCAAAGGCTCATCCCGTGTGATTGGCATAAAGCAAATTTTAAATAAAATCCGGATGTGTCGTACAGCAAAGGTGACTGGCAACGACGTGCAGGAAGGGCTGCGGGAGGAGGCGGGCGACTCTCTAACAAATCTGAATCATCGTTTAGCCTGACCTAACTCACTAAATTCATACTAGGCTGATTACTGCGTCTTCTTTACTGCTCTATACATAAGTCCGTTAATTCCGTTCTTTCTGCTGTCGGTAAAGAAAACGCTTGGATGCGCTCACGAATCAGCGCAAATGCATTTGGTCAGGCCCAACATATTTAGGAACACCGGCAGTCCAGAAAGTATGAGTGGGTGTTAAATCCGGGCTGTGTGACATCATTTTGCAAAACTATAGAAGATAGGTCAACAGAAAAAAGTGGATTTTACCACAAGATGCTTCTTTCCGAGATGAGGGATGGCCACACCAACTTGACGAAAGTAGACAGTTATTTGCTTGCTAAACAAAGGTATACTTCCCTGCAGCTGAATGTACGAGCCAGAGCAATCGATAAGTGCTGAGAACTGGAAGACAATATGTCCCTTGGACCTCCATTTATTGAATTGAAATTGGAAAATAGAGATGTCACTGTTATGATTGCACAAGTGTTCATAGATTATGTCATCTCCCCAACCAGTCTAGGCGTCGAAACTAACATGACCTTTTGATATAAATAGGAGTCCCTTACGTTCTGTACTTTGGTAGAGTGGTACTTATGGCAGTTATTGGACTAACACTTGTCTCAAGTCATTCCGTACTGGATGCCATTTACTGGGACAACTTCTGTGGAGGTTAGAGGGAAATTGGTACGAGAAGTGCGGGGATTGGCTATCAGTTATATCACATAGTTTCAATCATTTGATGCTGGACTTGCCGTTGTCATCGGCCTTAGAGATGGGGGAAAGTATATCGCTGCAGCGCACAATGAAACAGTGCAGTCTGAAAAGATGATCCCTCCTCCTAGCTGTGAAGTTTAGGCGTCAGGTTGCATGCGAGGTCTACACTACCCCAGGCAGTAGTCACGGAGGCCGTCCAGCCGGTCATCTCACAAGTAAGTGCGACAGTCTTCGCACACAGAAAAATACGTGATCAGCTGTTAAAGTTATTGGTCAGTCGCCTGCCAGAGTGCTTACCGGAGAATCAGACACAGCCACCTATCGGAAATGTCACCATGGATTTGCTATAGCATACTTTTCACGCCCAGTAAGCATGATCGGTCCAAACACTCTAAATGCCCCTTCAACGTCGAGCAGTCCCCTATCGTCCTCCCTCTTCGCACGACTAACTGAGTCGGCATTTAGGACTCTTCACATTGCCTTCCACTTCACTGAAGCAACTACCGCAAGCATAATCAGCAAGCAGCCACTGCACCTGGAAGGTCAATGATCCAGTCATTCTTGAATGAAAACACGCTAGAGTGATAATGCCCTTTGTGTGTTCATTAGAGGACAACGACCTCCCGCAGTCCGATGGTCGGAGTGAGCTAAGTTGGATGTTGCGGGAGATAAAGGGCGAACTGAATGCACAGGCTCAGTACTTCATCTGAACAGTCCTCCGTACAGATGATTTTTAAGTAATGTGCCTAGGCGATTCGATAAGATTCAAAGCAAATTAAGATAACACTATACTTTAATATCGAAGTTGGCAATATGTATGCACAAAATAATAGATGCAATTTATACAGTCACCAAAGGGACATTGTAATTAGGCAGGGTTAACTGCTTCACGGAAAATGTAGAGAACAATGAAAATATTTATTTGGGACATCCACTCACACAGTCAAATTTACTGGAAATTACAAATTTCGCGACGGCTTATCAACTGTAATCTGCAGCTGCATAGCAGAGATAACGAATGAGGACCATACGGAGATTTATATTTCCACAGAAAAAGCCAATGCAAAACGGGAAGGTCCTCGTTTACTGCTCATAGACCAATCAATAAAAATGGCAACTTAAAAACACAATTTAGGGAAGAAAATGGGGGAACATTACACCCAGAGTGCGGTGTAAAACAAAGGAGAAGGGCAAGATGATCCAACTGTTTGCACAGGTCGGGTTTTTCCTGCCGTGTGTAGGCTGCCTTCAAGTAGCGCAATGTCTTAGTTGCTCGTGCACGAACTAACACTCGAAAGAATGTTTTGGTGTTAACGGATTGACCGGTATCTAGGAGGTGCTTCGCGGTAGAAGAACGAGGGATTTCCTCTACGTGCTTTAGAACTCATTTAGGCAACTCCTCCACTGACTTAGCTGTCATTTGCCTCTGTGTTCGCCAAACATACTTGCAAGCACAAGTGCATGTGAATTAGTAAACACAATTTGAGGTGATGTGCATTGCTAAGGCATCGTTCACCCATGGAATTGGGATATATTAAGTGGGACTGCTGAGTATGAGTTCGACTGCGTTGTGTGTCCTTTCAATGGTGCATCTCAATCATTGCTTAATGCTATTCGAAAGGCAGCCATCCTTTTAGGATAAGGATACTAAAATGAGTCTTTTTTCGGAACCGATTGTTCCGTCAGTTTTGGCCAAATGGTATTGGTGTGCATTTGGATCAGTCGTGTTGAATATTCATGCTTAAGCAAGGTTGTTTTGAGCAAAGCGATTTCTTCATCCGGTGTCCCAAATAGACAAATGCTCCTCGTTCTTTGGAAAAGATTATATATCAAGTTTCATTTTCGCCGCATTGACACAAAGTTCAGGAAATGCAGGTATTGATCTTCTCAAGTATCCGTGTGAAAACCTACACCTTATTGCACATCTTCCTGCCTAGTCACGAGGACGTCCGGGAAAGATAGC